TCAAAATGAGCTTTGGATGGGATTTTTCTGATAAACCATGAAGAAGTTATGCCCTGGTCAATTTGCAGTTGACTTTTTCAACTGTCCAAAAATAGAAACTTTTGCATCTTGAGACTTTTTGAGCCATGCTTTGAGAATCATGATCAAGAATTGATCAAATGATGTTTGTGGCTTCAAAATAATATGTTGACCAAAAATTTAGACTTTTGACTGTCAAATGACCATTTTGCCCCTGCAGTTGACTGTGAAGCAATTAGGGTTTTTGACTGGGCAACTTGATGCTGTGAGTCTTGAAACTTGACATATGGATGCTTGACAATGTATATAGGCATGTGGGACTTGATTCGACCCTTGGAAACTTCAATTTCTTTGCCAGAACCAAAACCCTAATTTTGACTGTGTTAGGAGGCAATTGGACTGTGCAACCCTTGAGAGATTTTGAAGCTTGATCTTGGCAAATCCTGAAGAATATGGGAGGGCGAATTTTGGGGTACAACAGTATGGATCGTAGCACCTCTAGTTTTTCTTTTACATTTCGTAACAGAGTTTGCAGCAGATGTTGTATGGGAGGTGCTTGTCGAATAGGCCATGACTATCAAACAAAATGATCAATAGACAAACAAATGAAGAAACCCTAAACAAAATGATCAAGAGACTATTTCAGTGAAAAACTAACGTTGATGACTATCAAGATGAAACAAACATGCTTCTATGAGAGTTTTGATGAATATCTGTTGAGTTTTGATGAATATCAACTTGAAAATCGCCTAGGGTTTTTTACGAAATGAGAGTGACAAACTGACGTTTGAGTGTTGTTAGGTAAATGAAAAGTTAGAAACTGGATAGTAGTCTGAAGTATTTCATGCAAAATAAGTGTCACGTCGATTTTACACAAAAACTGACGTGATTGTATTATTTGAAAATAAAAAATAAAAAAAATCCATATTGTCGTATCCTAGGAATTTATTAAAAAGATATATCACGTTGGTTTTTGTAAAAAAGCGAGGGGTTAAAATATATCAAATAAAGTATTAAAATAAGATTTTGAAATTAGAATTATGAAATTGTTAATGCAAAATAGATTATCTCTCAGTTGGACCTTGTAGTCGAGGTAAATACTAATTGAACAAATAAAAAATAAAAATGGAATTTGGAAAGGAGCTAATTGAGAAATACTAATTAAACAATTGAAAAAAACCATAAAATGTTGCAGCTGGGTGTCGAAGCGAGTTTCCTTATTGCTACTATCCTTTGGTTTTATTAAATATCCAAAGTCTTATATTTTTTTATTAAGAAAATAATTAAACATGGCGCTCCCATGACCTATACCCTCGTTTTTCCATTGTCCGAGGTGTTAACTTCGTCATGAAAAACTTTATTTGTAGTAGTGAAATAGGTGGTTGTATAAACGACTTCACCCCATAGCTTATTCGGCAAGTCTTTTCCCTTTAACATGCTTCTAACCATGTTCATTATCGAACGATTTTTTCTCTCACCATTCTGATGTGGCGTATAGGATGGAACAACTTCACGCATTATCCCCTCTTCATCATAATACTTCCCAAATTCATTCGAGATATATTCACCTCTACCATCTACTTTGAGAATTTTAAGTTTGTGACCACTTTGCCACTAAAGTATGAACTTAAATCTTTTGAACACATCAAATATCTCATCCTTTCTCTTTAATAGATATGTTCATAATTTCCTACTAAAATCATCGATAAAAGTGACAAAGTACCTATTGTCACCATATGAATCGACTTGCATTGGCCCGCAAACATCGAAGTACACCACCTCAAGGTGATGTTTGGTCTTGTGACATGTATCCTTGATGAAAATACTCTTGTGTTGCTTCCCTTGCACACACTCTTCACATATCTCAGCTGGAACATTGATTTTCGCAACCTGGTTACCATACCATCCCTTTGTAACATGTCGAGGTCTCGAAAATTGAGATGTCCAAGACGGTCACAACCACTCATCACGGCTTACCACAGTAGCAACAAAACTATGCTCCATCACTTCAAATCTATATTGAAAGTCATATTGGTAGTCAGTCATAGGCGCTTTAAGGACTAAAACCCTGTTTCGATTCAAAACGTGCAAAATCTTGTTTTCCATGCGAATTTTGTAATTCTTATCAAGTAATTAGCCAATATTTAAGATATTACATTTAATTCCAGGAATGTATAGCATATCTTTGATCAAGGAATGACAACCATTCCTTCTCATGATCAAAACATCACCAACCCTGTCGGCCGCTAAAGTGGTATTGTCCGTGAATTTCACCTTATTCACCAACCCAGTCATATGTATTGAACAACCAAAATCCAAATACCACTCATCACTATCTTGAACTCCATCTCGAACGGTTATCATTACAGTTTACTCCGGACACGTTTCTGCAACATTCCTCGAACTATTGTAGTTGTTGTTCTACAACTTGCAACCGCTACTGCTGTTGTCCAAGAGATTATTATTGCCATAATTCTCCTTTGTGATCATGACCAGAAGCATGTTTTATTCATCCACTTCCTGTCGATAAATCTTAGCCTTATCGCTTTGATTTTCCCTTGATTTCGCATTGCAATCTCTTGCGAAATGACCAAGTCTATGATAATTGTAACACTTCACGTTACTCTTGTCAATATTCTTGATGTAGTTGCTTTGACCACTATCTTTGGAGCTGCTCTCACCCCTTTACCCCGTCGAACCCTTCGAATTTTGTGAATCTTTTGCACCAAAATTCTAGAAATTTGCCTTTCCTTTCGAAGCCCATTTTGGTTATGATCTTTTACTCTTCTCATTGAACTGTGCTAACAACACAATCTCCACTTTAGCCTTGTCATTTCCCCTTTCATCCATCCTTTGTTTATGAGCCTCATGGGAGCTTTGAAGCTCATCTTTGCTCAATGTCGAGAGGTCCTTCGATTCTTCTATTGTAATTACAATGTTTTCGAATCTTGACGTTAAAAAACGCAAGATCTTTGACACAATATTATACTCCAAAACAGTTTCTCCGCGAGACTTAATTTGGTTCATCAAACGCTTAATTCACACCACATAATCGTTTATCGTCTTCTTCTCTTTCATTTGAGTCAACTCGAACTGCCTCTTGTGAGTTTGTAACCTCACCACCTTTGCTTTATCAGCTCCCGCATAAGCTTTTTCTAAGATCTCCCAAGCTTGCTTCGTCGAATCGCAATCACCAACTTTTTCAAAGATGTCATCATCGACACAAGAATGAATCAAGAAGAGTGTCTTGTAATCCTTCTTCTTCTCTTCCTTGAATGTAGCCTTCTGAGCATCTGTAGCTTCCGCTCTAAACGGAATAACTCCATTCTTGATCATCTCAAGAACGTCTTGATACCCAAACAAAACCTTCATTTTCTTTGATCATTTGTCATAATTCTTTGAATCAAGAATTGGTAAGTTGGTGGAAGCTCTATCATTGGAAACGGTATTCATCTTTGCACTAGATTATGGATCTGAACTAGAGCTCTTGATGCCAAATATTGGAATATACACAAACACTAGTGGTGAATCAATGGAGAATTTGTGTTAATGGAAGAAGATGGAATGAAAAATAAGAGAGAGAGAGAGAGAGAGAATTGCATTAGCATTAAACTAAACATTATAACATATGAGAGTATATATACAAGGCAATACAAAACAATTGGGAAACAAAACAACTTAAAAAATAAACAAAAAAAAATCAAAAATACGGGTTCGAAACCGATTACGCAAAATGTTGTAACCGGTTACATCTACGACTCAACTAAAAACATAATAGAAAATGGTCTGCTGTAATCGATTACGCTAAATCCAGTAATTGGTTAACAACCAGTAAAATCTAAATTCCAATTTTCAAAAATACTTATTTTTTAAGTTCAAATCTTCAAAATGCTTCCATAAACTAATACTATACATTTAAATTTGAATTATCATGTAATGAATACTTATGACAGGATTACATGGGTGGCAAACAAAAACCAGCCATTGAATGATTATAATGGGATTGTCACAATATCAGAAGATGGAAATTTTGTGATATTAAACGGACATAAACGCTTCTATATTGACATAGCATCCAATACCACTTCTCCGAACTTGATTATAAATCCTTGAAAAACAACCGAACTATCCCTAAGTTATTAATCTAAGTCCTCTCTTAAACAATTTTTAGGAATGAGAACTATTTCGAACTAAACAAATGTCACTTACATTATTTTGCTGTATGATTAGTTTGTTGTACTGTATGTAAGAGCTAAGAAGGCAATATGTTTTTGAGTAAATTAGTGGCAGATGGATACATCATAGACGTAATAACTTTAATTCATTAAACCAAATAAAATACTTTAGATTGATGATGACACAATACTTAACATGAATTGTACAAAATAATTTTCCTGTATTTTTACTCACACACGAATTTATGTCCCGACGGTCTATATCCAAATCCAGCCACTTGTGTTTAAACTATTATTAAGGTGTTTTTCTTTAGCTACTAAAATTAACAAGCTTAAATTATTAATTCAAAAAGAATGTTTAAAATAAAACTACTAACGTTAGTTCATTTTTTATGGTATTATTAGCTGTTAATTAGCTTCTTCAAGCCTGTTGCCACGTCATCAACATTGTCAATCATTGGACAACCACACTCTCAGCAGCCAAGAAATATGACACGTGTCCATGTGGACCCCATCCGTTAATTTTAACTTCATGAACAAGATTAAAAACCAATCTTTTTCTGGGACCCAAATAATGATGTTACCATAAAAAAGAAAAAAAAAGTGAGAACGACCCTTGAGTTCAACCCCACCACCATATAGTGACAACTGACTCAAAAGCTATAAATTCTCAGACGAAAATGCCCCTAGTTCATATAATTAATTACAGAATATAACCCTTAACACGTTCTTAAATATGAGTCCTCAACGCTGCGTTTCTTCCCTTTCCTCTTCTTTCCTTTCACCACTCTTTACTGAGCAATAACCATGCTCTCTTCACTTTCAGTTTCGGATTTCACCGTGTTAGACGAGGTTTTAACACTGTGGGAATACGATTACCCTAACGCGTTCTCACCCCCCATCATTCCCACCAGCCCTAAGCTCACTTCAAGCTCCGGTTCAGGTGAACCAAACGAAAAACCGGTATTAGAAAATTCAAACCGGAACATGGAGGACCGAAAGAAGAGAAGAATGATGTCAAACCGGGAATCAGCACGGAGGTCACGTATGCGTAAACAGAGACACCTTGAGAATCTACGGAACCAGTTGAACCTATTTCGGGTTGAAAACCGGGAATTGAAAAATGGTTTGCAGTTCTTAATGCTCCACTGTAATCGTTTACGAACTGAAAACGAGTGGCTCCGGTTAGAACGAACCGTGTTGGGTCAAAAGTTGTCAAACATAAGTCAAAGTTTGGTTTTTCAACCATTCTCATCTGCATGGCCATGCAATATTGTTACAATGGAATGAATAAATAAATAAACCTTGATGTTAATCATGATTAACAATGTTAATTAATTATTAAAGGGTCTCTCTTAAATATTCTGGAGATATGCATATAACTTGTTTATTAAAGGTAGATAAAATTAAGGTAGTTTAGAGTGGGCTGCTTTTTGGTGGAAAGGAAAAGCAAAAGGTTAGCTTTTGAAATATATTAATGCCATGGTTGTCATTGTTTTTTTGAAACCAGGTTTAATATTACTACTAATTATGTAAAATTCCCTTAAAAAAAGTAATTATATAAAATATTATTTAGTGTTTTAATTTTTTAGTAATTGTTTCTTTTACAAAAACTTTTTTTTAATGGTGTTTTTAGGTAATTTTTATGATTTTTCTGTAATTCTTGATGTTGTTCTAGTAATATTGATTTGTTTTGTTCAGGAAAAAAAATATTTTAATTGTATTTTTAAGTAATTTATATGATTTTTCTGTAATTTTATATGTTGTTTTAATAATATTGATTTTTTTATGTTCAAGAAAAAAATATTATTATAAATCATAATTCGCAATATCAAATGTAAGTAAAAAACTTACATAAAATTTTAACTGTTATTAAGATTGAATCCAATAATCATATTAAATTATATATATATATATATATATATATATATATATATATATATATATATATATATATATATATATATATATATATATATATATATATATATATATATATATATATATATATATATATATATATATATATATATATATATATATATATATATATATATATATATATATATATATATATATATATATATATATATATATATATATATATATATATATATATATATATAAATTATTTATACGACCGTTTGATTTATTTTTATTTAAGATTTAAATTTGTTATAGTTTTTAAATTTACATTTTGTGTCAATAGATTTTAAATCTATTATTATTATTATTATTATTATTATTATTATTATTATTATAGTAGTATTAATAATAATAATAATAATAATAATAATAATAATAATTATTATTATTATTATTATTATTATTATTATTATTATTATTATTATTATTATTATTATTATTATTATTATTATTATTATTATTATTATTATTATTATTTCCATCATGCAAATGACGCAAGGAATTGATGCAGATCCCAAATCTCTTCTATACAGGAGTATATGAATTATTTAATGCATAAAAATGACAGCTACGGAAAAATAAAGGAAATGGAATATTCCGATGACGTAATATTAATTGACTTTGCTTTGAATATGTACTTAATAAATGTCATAAAAATATACAGGCATGCTGAAGTATATGTTGCCTTGCATATGCCATATAGTATATCCTTTTGGTAAATAGTAGATGCCAAAGATAATAGTGAAGTTAACATGTGATTGGACCCTCAAGTGTATCGCCATGTTGAATGTTGGTCGGGTTCATAAAAGAGTTTGTTAATGATAAATGGTGTTAATTTGCTCAATGTGAGTGGGGCGAATACTAAAGGAGAAATTAAAATTGTTAAAAGAAAATATCAAGAAGTTAGATTTTAAATGAGGAAAGGAATATTGAAGGGAGACTAAAAGACATTAGGGAGAAAATGTTGGTCTTATGTAATAAGGGAGAGGTGGACGATCTCAGTGTTTCAAAGGGAAGAAATTTGATACATGTCATCTCAAGTTTTTTGACTCATGTGTTTTGACTGAAAGATGGTTATGCAAACATAAAAATAAAAAATTCATGGTGAGAGGTAGGAAGAAGACTAATAATTTTTTCAGCTTAAATGTTAATGGTGCTAATGTGGAAGAAGTTACAAGTATTTGTAAAACAAATTTTCAACTATTTTGTGAATTATTCCAACGGATCCTTCAAAATCCTCTCAATCAAAATTTTTCAATTTTTTTCACTCAATTTTTCTCTTTTTACAAAATTCTTCCCTCTCTTTCCCTCTAAATTCTCCTATAAGGACTTTGAAAAAAAAATGAAAGATTGAGTAGAAAGAATTAAAGGATTTTCGTTGAAAAGATTTTGAAGATTTTGCTATTATTTATAAAATCAAAAGTTTCATAATTTGGATAAACTTAAAGTTTATATTGAATAAAGGTTTTTGAGGGCTTACATAAAATTTTCAAATATATTTTGTGTTGTTATAGTATCATGAAAATTAAAAATATAGTAATGATTAATATTTTTTTTATCATTCTATACAAAATCAAATTTTTTAAATGTCAAATATTTTTTTATATTTTTTTAGAAATTTATTTTCGGAAGTCTTCTCTTTCTATCCTGAATGCTCTATCAGTTGAGAAAAATAGAGTAATAATAAACTTATAAGAAATTAATTTTTATTTAATTAGCTTGATGGGTAATGGTTGATATAGGAAATGATATTTGATATTGTTATTAAATGATAAAATCATTACTAGAACCAAACTTCCTCTAAATATTTACTTCCATCATCTCTTATACATTCATTCCACTTTGGTTAGTAAGAGAAAGAAGAAGAGAAAAGAGAAAGAAGAAACAAAGAAAAAGAAGAAGAGAAAAACTTGGAAACCAAAGGTCAAAGCTTGGATCATCAAGGATTTCACCATTAATCTTCATCTCTAGATGTGAGTTCCTAGATAGATTTAGCTTTGGATGGAGAAATTGCATGTTTTGGGAATTAGGATTTTTGTGTCAAGTATGCTTTATGTGAATCCTTTGTGCTATACATGACTATATTAATGCTTGACGTGTTTTACTATGATAAGCCATGCTACATTGTGTTATTTGATGCTTTGAGATATTGTATGTTGGTTTTTGGGGGATTTTCCTTCTCTGGTGCGTTTCTGATCTTCCTGGGATCTGCCATCCTCGCTAAGCAAGAATGGGCTCGCTAAACGAGCACTCTTATGTTTTCTAAAAATTGAGTTATGTCATGCTCGTTACTTCTCGCTCTGTCTTGCTAAGCGAGAGTTCCTTGCTATGACTTCGCTAGACCTCGCTAAGCGAGGAAGTGGAATTCTCCAGTTTTGTGGCTATTGTCATGTCTCGTTAGGAGCTCTCTATGACTCGCTAAGCGAGCATGACAACATGGAGAAAAATGATGTTTTCATGTTTCCACCATAAAAGAGGAATCGTAGTTCTGATAGGTATAAGGTCGGATATATTGAAACAACGTTTATTTAATGATATGAAATGCTAGAGTATTTTATGGCATGTTTGGGTATGGTTTGAAGGGTCAAGGGGTGAAAAATTTGAGTAAGGTGAATTTTGGTGTTTCTGTTCTGTCAAGGTTCGCTTAGCGAGGCATATTCTCGCTTAGCGAAATCTGTTGTCATGGAAATTGTGATAGATTTGAAAAATAGCGTATCTTGAGTTCCGTAACTCAAAATGAGACACAGTTGGATGCATTGGAAAGCTCATCGAGAGGGATATTTCATAGTGTAATAAGATAACACTTATATTCATATTATATGTTTATGACTATCTTATTTCATGTTTATGTTTCGATACCAAGTGACGGAATGTTATGTAACTAATCATATGGGGCCGTGATTAGTAATACATGTCTAAACTCCAATCGGTGTGGGTCGTGATTAGCAATGGTAAGCCATACGCTAAATCCAACCAAGCAAGGTCTTGATTATATTTGTGACTAAGTTCTAATTGGGAGGGTTATGGTAGTGAATAATCACGAGTAGTATGTGAAATATGTTATGTATGATCTATGATTTATTGAATGTTGAATATGAATTGATTGTATGAGTGCGTATGTGATGTGTATTTATGAAATCATAAATTCAACTAGATAAGTTATGTCTCCAAGATTGGGTAGGCAGACAAACCCGTAAGACCAATCCTTGAGGGAACGTGTGCCCAACAGTAGGATGACAAGTAAACCCATAAGACCTAACCATGAGGGGAGTAGTCACGCAGGTCTCCGTGTTATAGACTTAAGTGTATAATAATGTTTTGTTTGTGTGGGCCTTGCAAACCATAGTCGGTACATACCTAGTGACATGTTAATTCGCCCGTGTGGAGCTGTGATTAGCCGTACACACTAAATTCCAATTGGGATGGGTCATGATTAGTAATGGTGAACTACATACTAAATCCAATTGTGCGAGATCGTGATTAGTAGTATGATTAAGTTCTTTTGGAGCCGTGATTATCATACATACTAAACTCCAATCATAAGGGTCATGATTAGTGATAGTATGCCATGTGCTAAATCCAAACCGAACGGGATCGTGATTAGTTATGAGACTAAGTTCCTATAAGGAGGGTTATAAATGATACAAGTATCTTGCTTCTATCGAGGAGCAATAAAGATACATGGATACCAGTATGGGTATCAGATTTGAGTAATTTAATCAATACACCAATTGATTATGTTGTGTGTTATGTGAATAAAATGGAAAGATGTGATAATACTATAGAATTGGTATTAGACTCGAAACTAGATTAATTTGGGTTTAATGGGCGTAAAGGATGTATAATTACATGCTTAGCCATAAGTATAACCATAATCCTAGGTGGTTAGATATGGTGTGCAGTGGCCATGATAAGTAGTGATTGTTATAACATTCTCCCATAATATAGGATTTGTTCTCTAATACTCATGGATCATAGGATTTCTTGAGGATTAATTAAGTAGAGTTGAGTTGTTGTATGTAATTCCTTTAGATTCGAGTGGATTTATAGGATAGGGTAACTCATTGAGATTATCTTTTCACCCCACTATTGTTATTTTTTCAGGTAGTTCTTTGCAGGTTAAAGACAAAAGGAAGTTTGTTAGATGATGTTTCAAAGACTTTGTTATCGTGATCTTCTGCTGTGGATTATGTGCAATGAGGATGTTGTACAAAGATATTAAGTTTTGTGTAGAGACTATTGCACCTCATGTGACACACGTATTTTATTTTTATGGATATATATATGATGTTGATAGACATTTGTGTTGTATCACACTACTACAAAACGTGTAAACAAGAATGGCATGGTCACCACGGTTCTTC